AAAGACAGGGGAGGCCCCCCTGCCCGTGCAGCTTGGTACCGTTTATCGAGCATCCCTTATTTCACCTAACAAACTCAATACTTACTAATATTTGATATTGGTATTGTTAAAAATGCATTAAAGTATACCTTTAAACTTTGTTTACTAAAGTATTAAATAATAATTAATTTATATACAGATTTTCAAAAACATTTTTGCATTTTTCAAAAATTTTTGTCTTTGTTAATACGAAAACTAAGACAACGTCTCAGAAGATCCTATGTTAATCATGTGATTTTAATTAGTATAATTCTTTAATAAATACCCTAGAACAAATATTGCTGAAATTTATTCAAGTTTTGCATGTTCTAAACTTTATAGAAAACTTATCACTGTAATCTCAGAATTATATTATTACTTCCGAACCTCCTTTAAACTACTGTCTTCAGTTTTTAAATTAATATCCGTTCTCATAGTAACTTTCAATTTTTTACTAATTTCTAATATTTTAATTTTGATAATATGGTGAATTTGGAAATTTTTTTTTTTTTCCTCAGCTACCTTTTCTTCCGCACCATTTGCATATGTCCATCTATTATTAATTTTGTATTAAAAGTTGTCAAAACCTACATTTCTTGACTTTCACTTAACATTTAAAAGTATCAACGTAGCTTTATAGTAAGCTTTCCGTATGCACTTTATAATACGAGGCTGTATACAGTAAGCACTATGGAAGTTTAACATAACAAAAAAAAACAAGTAAGTCGGAGAACATTCTTTACTTTGAAGGTGGGTTTATACAAATCTTCTGCTTATACTGCCAGATTCGCACAGTTACAAAAACTTGTCTAAAATTAATCCCACGAAAAATCACCTAGCTACGGAAGTCTGGTCACAACATCTGCATGTGGGCTAGGGATCTTGCAAATAGTCTTAAATTTATGGATGAAAACGAGCAAACGTTAGTATACATTAAAACGAGCCAGTACGATTGAAATCTTTCAAAAAAAGTAAATTGCAAGCAAAGGAAGCCATCAAAGCTATAAAAAATTTTCACCTTTTTTTCCTTATTTTCAGAAAGAAAAAGAAAGGTGTATTGTCATTAACTGTTCTGTGTTTATTAAATTTTTGCTATAAAGTTTTAATTGTATTTTTTTGTCAGATTGACTATTTTGAAACTTGGATTATGTGTGCTTCTTGCTCTTTTGCACGATTTTAATCAAGCTTGCTCGTTCTCATGCGCGAGTTTAAGATCATTTGGACGATCTCTAGCCCATATGCAGAAGTCGTGACCAGATTCTTGTACCTTCTGACTTTGTAATATTAGCTGCATGTATACTTATGCTGTGAGTACGTCTTTTTTTGTAGCCAGTCAGTCGGTTCGAGCCCTAAGGTAAGTATATCTACAGTTACCATATTAGGAGCCGTAATGTCTAACTTCTTTGATTTCGAAAATAAAATCTGGATGAAGAAATTTGTTAGCTTACTGGCACCACATGGTGTCTTAAAGACATTCATTGCCTTGTCCAGATTCACATGTAAAAATTAAAAATGTCACACAGTACAACCCTCATAGATATTTGAACGATGAAATGGAGCCATCAGCGGCATCAACTAATCAATCGTTGAAAAGTACCCATTGTGTGTCATCATTTTATTAGATTAGCTCTAAACAAATTATTATATGTTCTACTAGATAACAAGATGAACATACGTTATTAACGTAATAATGTGCCTGTTTTATAAGGCTCCACATACGTTATTCAACAAAAAATATGTTGCCTGTTACAGTTACAGACTTTTAATTAGCTTCCGTGAAGTTCATAAAGAATACAACGTACTGTATAAAAGATCATGTTCTTTTTGTACTTTTTTATTGCAACAAGAAATTGTAAAAAATTAGTAAAATTTAATTAAAAGAGTACTTTCTTCTCATTTCATATGATATATATGGAAATCTATTGAAAACTTTTGAAGCTCTTAATTCTTATGAGACAAAACAAATTTCCTGTATACAAGAAGTTATAAGATTATTCTATGTAATATACTTAGAAAAATGTAATCACTGATTTTGTGCTTAAAATTTATGGCGATCAAGGGTGTATCCTTATCGAGATAATTTTATATACACACATACGTATACAGTGTCCCCACCATAGCCTTTGCCTAGAGCTCCAATTTAGTTCAAGACGCCACTCTTCCCAGTTTAAAATCTTCGAGGTTATTGACACATAGCCCCTGTATATCTATGATCTTATATTTATGATTTTCAATGAAGATTGCTTGAAATGATCATTTTTACTTGTTACGAATAAAAATATAGAAATAATTTTGTAATTAAAACATTTGATACAGTTATATACAGCTGTTTGTTCAAAAACACACAATTATAAAGTTGATGCTGTTAAAATAAGTTTGTATAACATGAGTTTTAGAAGAGTAAACAATTTACTATCGAGAAAATGTTAAAGTAAAATTGATTTAGTGCGGCTGTTTGAAAAGTAGTTCTTAAATACTAGGATCTCTGTGTGAGTTTGAAAAAGAAGAATGAAATCGGATGAGTAAAAAGTGCTAAGGAAAAAAAATAACAACTTCAGTATTTTGATATCTGCAAAACTGTAGTAACAGTATAAGTCATTAAATTAACTTATTGTAGATCTTTAGCGAATGCGTCTTTTAGCTCTGAATACAGATATTTATCAGTATTCAAGTATATGGGTCCTGAATGAGCCTTATTTATGAGTAAGAACAGTTTTTTTGTCTTCAATAGACAATATTACTCTTTAATCGTGCAATTATGCAATTTTAAGCTTACAATGGGCAAGCAAGAAGAGTTTACAATACTTTTTTTAATAATGTTTGTGCATGATTAAACCACTCAACATACTTCGAGTAAGCTTTCATAAGTATCTTAGTTTTTAGACTAAATCCTTTATTTTTGAATTGAAAATTCTGTCACATTGGTGTCCAGTGGTATTAAAAGTTCCCATAGTTAAGTATTTGTACATTTCTACTAGGTTTTGTTTGATGCCATTTTAGACTAACCTATGTAAATATCATAATTCTGAAATTATGATTCTGTTAAGAGTTTAAAAGAACTTATCAGATCAAACTGTTTTTTCCTATCATGTGTTTTTTGACGATAATATTAGATCTACCTTTTTTAATACCATAATACTTATGGCAAACTCGTATTAAGTAAGTTTAAAGACCACTTTAGACAGACTTTTGTTCATTTTCATGACATGTATATTCTATCAGCTAGCCTATTGAGCTCACGATTTTTAATTGTGCATCTCACGTCAAATTTGTGTGAAGTGATGTAGAAAGTCTTTACGAACAGAACAGTTTCTTTCTGTTCTTACCACCATGTTGAATCAACCATTTTAAGTCCAAAAACTTTTATGAAAGATTTGTGGTTAGCGACTCCGTTCATTGATTATTTTCCAAAAAAAATTTGTATCTGTTAAATTAACAGAGAATACTAACGGCCTTTATTTCTGAAATTCAGAATCTTTTAAGCACGTTTTCAGCGATGATTGAACTTAAAACATTAAAAAAAGTCTTGTTGATTGCTTTATTATAACTGCTACTATCTTTATTTGTTGCAAAAAAGGCGTTTCAATCAACTATGTAAGTCTCCAGTCTGACAATTTGCCAAGCCATACTTCCAAAAGTTTTTTTCTTCTATAGGCAGTGAGAAAAAGACACATCTCAGTCTTGATTGGTTAGAAAGATTATCTTACCAATAAATTAACAGCACCTGTCAGTTTTGGAGTGCTATTCTTTAAACTCATATTAAATCTATTGTAATATATTAATAGACCAATAAGTTTTGAAATACATGCATTATTTTCTTTAAAAAAAGTGCAACTTATGAAAAAAAAAAAAAACAATAAATAAATGAATTAAAAAAATTAAAAAAGACGACTGCCAATGAAAAAATACCAGGATACCTTTATTAATTTTTTTAATTCGCATAACTCATTACTACCAAAAATGTTGGCCACCATAGTGCATTGAACATTTATAATTTATTATAAATAACACTAGGTTTGTAAATAGAGACCTTAACACCTGTAGGATTTTTGAACTGTTATGCGCTTAAGAATCCTTTATGTAAACAAAATAGTAGTACCCAATTTTATAAGTCTGGAAGTCTCATGTTAGGTAATCAGACAAGATTAATTTAGAAAAGAAGTCAATTTACTTTTATAATATGTAGCTGTTTCTGAACTGCAATCACTTTTTACCATAGCGCATTTCCATAGTGACAAATCAATTCATAATTCTTATTCAGTACTATTCTTGGTTCATTTTCTCGCACAAATAGCACACTTCATGTCATATGTTTTTTAATGTAATTTTTAGTTCATGATTTAGATTTGTATTTGGATTGTTAGCATGCAACAATCGTTAGCTTTAGATTATCATCTGACATGCTTAGCTGATTCTGTATAAAATTAAAAAGTTACTCTTACAAATTTGTTATTTTTTTTATATTTACTTTTTTTTTTCTATACGTACAAGAATTGAGGTCAGTGTCGAAAAAGTCTTCTACCTTAAATTTTAGTGACCATATCATGACTAGACACAAACATTATGCTTATCAATTGGGTAACTCTTAAAGTTTTTAGCATAATATTGAAACACTAGATTTTTAATTTTTTACTCTCTACTAATGACTTTCTTACTCTCTACTTATGACTTTTTTACTCTCTACTTATGACTTTTTTACTCTCTACTAAAGACTTGTTTCATCTTCATTAGTCTACAAATCTTTTGCAATATTTATACAGAGCACTCAAAGCTGTAATTATTACAACTGTTAACAAAAAATACTTAGATGTCAAATATACTTCAGCAAGTATAATTTTGTACCTTTAAGTATCAGTTTTTTTCTTCTAAACAGAGGTATCTTTTATATATTTATATATATAGATTTTATATAGAGAGCTATCTTCTATACAGGGTTTAACAGAATATAGTTCCAATTAAATGAAAAAATACTATTATTTCAGGTATGAAACGCATTCTTCTAATTTGGAAGAAGTAGATCGCATGACATATGTGGCTTTCACTGATAGCTCCGAAGTTAGAGAAAATACAGAGGTCATAGAAATACAGCAGCACCAACGTCAACTGACTTTAAATCAAACTCAAGTGCAACAGGAGCAACAAATCCACCAAAGATATGGCTTACAGGACTACGCCCAGCAACCACAACAGCAGCAAACTTGTTATGAGACCTCACCAAGTGGTGCTACTGTCAAAGATCCTTATGAAGCCCAGGAACTAGTGTCACCACCTGCTACCAGTATACATCTTAGCCCAGTCACTCAACACTACTCGCCACCACTGGATACAACCAGGATTGACCAAAAACATCTATCTAATAATCAGAATTATGATCATCATCACCATCATCCACAACATGAACAAAATCATCAACACCAACCACAGAATCAACCACAACAGAATATTGTTACGACTACATATGCAGGTAATAATGGGACCATCAAGTACAGCACGGAAGTCAGCATAGCAGCAGAAAATCTAAAAATGCCCAGCACCTACACAACCTTAGAGACAGTACCACTTGCAGCAAACCAGACTATTCCCTATGCACAATATATCTCCTCAGAGGTATTTCATCAGACGCCAAACTACAGTTTTCCTAAGCACCAAGATATATATATATATCCAGCATCAAGCCAGGCATCTAGGACGGGACAGGTGAGGAGAATAATTGTGGATCAGTAGTTTTTATAATTTTTATTTTTATTGTCATTAAAAAAGCATCTCAACTCATATTTATGATACACACACACACACACATATATACATATACATATATACATGAGTGTATGTATATAGTTTGAGCACTTGGCCAATATGTGCACAAAAAGTGATCCAACTCTTACCTCATCGACCCTGGTGCGCACGGGATCATTAATGTACGAGCCGCCATCGTCACCAAGTCTCTACCATGAAGCTAGTGCTGTAACTTACCAGTTGAAGGCTCCTAGTGAGCAGTACTGGGCAGCTTCATCTGGGCCTTCACCGCCACCAAGCTTTGACTACATGCAAGGCTATGCAGGCGTGTCCACCATCTCAACAGTTGACAGTGCCAGTGGTATAATCTTCCCTGGAGGCTCAGCATATATGCCCAGTGGATCTTCGTCACCTTGGACAGCACTACAATTGTCAGCTGCAGAGGATGTTGTCCAAGCCGTTGCCACTGCGAACACACCTTTGACTGCCGATCTTAAAGAGTGTGTCAATTGTAGTGCAAATACAACTCCTCTGTGGCGAAAAGACGGAACTGGACTATACCTCTGCAATGCCTGTGGCATTTACTGCAAAGCTAATGGTTTCAATAGACCCTCAGCTCAGCGTGTCAAACCAAAGTCAACGATATCTCTGGTAAGATCAATAAGTATCTAAAATATTTATGCATTTATTAAAAAAAAATTAGTTTCTTGTCCAAGGACAGAAATTATTTTTGTGTGATTCCTTCAGACGAAGAAAAATATTTAAATTAGAAAATTTTAATTGATTTCATAGAAAAAGTCTAAAAAGTTATGCTTAATATCTTGCTCTTACGAATTTAATACACTTCTGATTGATTAATTTTTTAAATAAAAAGTAAAATTTCTCATTGTATGCTTATTAACTTCTTGCCTCTTCTTGCAAAAAATACTGAATCATAAGTTGTCTACACAAAGTACACTTACTCTTGTACTCTAGTGCATGGGTTGAACAAAAATGCACATTTTTTAGTCTGCCTTGAAAAGTTAAGGATCAAGATAGAGAATCAGATGAACTTTTTCTTTTTATGACAGTCATGCAGCTTAGCTGGAGCTAACTTACTAAAGAAAACTCTGAGAGAAATGTGTCATAATCCTGATACATTAGAACCCAAAAATATCACCTCATACCACATGTCCTATTTATGAATTGAAAACTTTTAAAAAAACCATGTAAATTTTTGCAAATTTAATTGTACAAATATAAAAAAAGGTATAGATTTTTTAATTTTTCAACAAGAATTAGAGTAGTTGATCTTGGCTTAAGCCATAAGAATCATAAACAGACTTGACGAAACTAGCTATTCATAGTACAAAGACAAAATAAGTCCTAATGAAATTAACGTTTATTTAAGGATAGTAAAAGCTTACGAAAATAATGTTATTTTCTATTTGGCAAGAGCCTTCCTAACCCAACAAAAGGCAGTTAAAAAACATTAATGGTATTAATGGCACTTTTAAAATCAGTAAATATCCCCACTAAGTAAGAAAAATAAGTAATTTTTTCCCTTTGTTGACTTGTTGCAGTTAGCCTGTCTCTACGTGTAAATTTATTTGTTTAGTTCAATTTTTTGAACTCAAACCTTTACATCATTTTAATAATCAATATAAGAGTACACAGACAAAGTGAGCTAGCATTTAGTTATTGTCCTCGGTTATTCATTGTTGTAAATTAATAATCGTATTTGTTTTTTCTTATATAAGGTATTGCAACACCAAATATAAAAATTGTATAATTTAATGAATAATTATTAAAACGCTCTTGAAAATCATCGAATAATGTCGATAAATTCTCTGATGAAAGACTCCAAATTGCAATACATAGCTTCTTTATACTAGACAGAGCCTTATCATTATTTTAGTGCTCAGCTCTCATTAACTGTGAAACATACTAACAATAGTATTAGTACCAATAGTTATTATAGTGATCAGAATAATAAAAAATAGTAACAGTAATTCAAGCTATAAATTAATAGATCAAAGCAATTGATAACTTCTTACTTTCAATTTACACTCATTTAATGTAAACAAAATTTGATCTTAAGACATTATACTGCACTTGGATAAAGTAAAAAAAGAGTACAGTACTAGAATGACTTTCGGAAAAAGAAAAAAAAAACTGACCAGGCACAAATACAATTCAATAAATAAAAAAGAGGACATTATTTCAACACAAAATTCAACCTAAATAAAAAAAAAAAAAAAAAAAAAAAACTATTTTACTAGGACGAGAGAAAGTTCCTTGTTTAATTCTAACATTACGTCTATTAATAACATGACGATAGAATCTCTTAATTTCATGTAATGTACCACCTAATAGAATAAATCTGCCTTTTTTTTTTGCATTTATCGGAATTCAGAAAATACAAGGCTTAGTTCTTATTAAACTAATATTTTTTACATAATATTATTTACAATTATCAAATTTAATTACTTAATTAAAATTGGTGATAAGCCCTGACAAGTGGATAGTGGGTGCTTGAGTACCAAAGAATAAAATTATATTTGCAAGAAATTCTATGGCAGAAAATGTATAAATATAAATATACTTTCTTGGAAATGATGTAATTTATAGAGGCGGTGCAATTATCGTGGAAATATGTGCGTTAATTAACTGTGATTTGAACACATAATTTATTATTTAATAAACACACAACAATAAACAATAAATCACTGGGATACGACAAATTCCAATTAAAGTCATGGCACGATGTTATGCCAAGTGAGCCAGTTTGAGACTGCATGCTTTCATTAAATCATCTGATGATCTTAAAACTACTTAATATCTATACCGATTACATCTCTAACGTTATGCTTACATCTGCCATATACACGGAGGAAAAAATCATGGAGCAAACGCATAGCGGCTATGGAAGTTCCCCCCCCCCTTTTTTGAACCTATCTAATTGGCTAATGACGTGTGTGGCTTTAACGCATGTAAGCTATAGCCCAGAAGCATTAACGCTAACCACGGATCAAACGCATAAAGGCACTGGCTTTTTTTCTATCGTGCCTATGCGTTTTTAGGTGAGAGAGGATACCATCCTACAGCTGTCAGTATAGGTACGTATTCACTTCTTGTCTGCTACGCACTATAGCTGACTATAAGACGGTATTCTCTCTCTCCCGAGAACGCATAAGCCCGATGGAAAAAAGCCAGTGCCTTTATGTGTTTGCTCCATGGTTGGCGCTTATGTTACGAAAAAGTTACAAATTTAAAATAAGTTACAAACCATACCAGATCAAGCAGTAACTGAATTTCATTTATCGCGACCACTCATAGCAGAGTGATCAAGGTACTCAGCTTGTGCGCAGGGAGTCACCAGCTCAATTCTCTAGATTTTGAATTAGTCACTAGAAAAAAGTGTATTTTTATACGATATTAAAAAAAATACCATATAGAGAGAGCCAGTTCAGGTGAATTTTTACTCTGATTTTCGGGGTAGTTCTCAAATAATCCTACGACACAGTAAACTTTATCATGTGTCAACTATAGTTTTTACCCTGAATCACGGTAAAAATTCAGGAAATGGTAAAATTTGTAGTCAGTACTCATAATTTTATATATAAAGGTATACTATCTCATTTTAAACAGTAACTCCAGTCCTACAGTTTTTATCGTATGCTAAGTTTTATAAGTTGTTATCACCCAGCTCTCTTCTACCACGCGTTTGAGTACTATGTAATTTGCTTAGTCAAACTTTAAATCACTTCTTGTTATATTTATGTGAATGTGTAGTTATGTATGTATATTGTATATGTATTTTTTACTTATAATTTCAAATATATACGTTCAACGTGAACTGTATTTGACGATTCGTTCCCAGGAAGTAAACAGAACCGTAGTTTTAAGTTTCTCTTGTGTTATTGTAAGGTGTGATGTTTGATATTATACATATGGATTTTACTCAATTTGTTAAATCCATATGTATAATATCAAACATCACACCTTACTAACTAGGTTGACAGATAACAAAGTTGACAGAAAACAGCCTTTAGGAGTCACAAAAGTCTTAAGCATGCCAAAAGTTGCAAGAGGGTGAATTGGAAGAGAAACTTCAGATGTATTTAATAAATACAATTTTACTTAGGCGTCAAAAAACTTATGCAAAAAATTTATCGAGATTGGAACAGCAGCGTTAAAATTGAGAAATAAAAAATCGGTTATGTGAGAGATAAGCTTTTCATTGTATCCTCACAGCAATCTCTGAAATCTTGAATGATCCTACTTAAGATTTTTTAAATAAGTAGAAAATGTATTTGTGTTCTTGTGGCAATAAAAAATGTAGGGTTTAAGGTCCAGGACTTTGTTGCTCTGGTAATAAAGTTGTAAGATAAGAGAAAAAAAAATTTTTTTAATATAAATTTCTTGGGAGTTTAAAATCTAAATGGTTAAAAAAAATATCCCTTTTCGTGAATTACACGGAAGAAACTGTAAATCAACGGATCCTAATAGCCACCGATTATTTTATGGCATAAAGAACGCACGGTCCTTTTCAGCATAATTATTTTTTTGAATTTTTACACCTTATTATTTGACCAAATAAACTATATGGATTCTGAAAAAATATGTTTTTAATAAGAAGATTTTAGTTCTGAGATGTGTCAGGAATATGTGTAAGATTTCTAACTGAAAACGTTTCACATTACATGTCAACACACTACGGTGTTTTATTTAGTAAGTCTCGGGCGAAGCCAAGATGAGGGGCTGCTAGTGATATTATATCTTGAATTCTTTATTTGAAACTTAAAAATTTTTAAGGACCTTACGACTAAAAAAGTAATATCTGAAAAAGTTAATTTTCAAAGAGTTGAATGACAAAAGATAGTCATCTCACATACACAGTTATTTCTGTGATTAGATAATAGAATTTAGCCAGACAAAATGAAGCTTATAATTTCATACATAATTTCAGCTTAACTATGGAACAAGAATAAAGGTCCCTTACTATTTAAAATATTCTGTGAAAATATGATTCATAAACATTATGGCGATCTTAATTTATGATCACTTTGCGTGAAAGATGAAAAATGTTTAAAAAAATATCCTAGCTTATTTATATTTGTAACATAAACTAAACATTATGGATAAAAATTTCTATTAATGTTGATATCATTTGGATCATTCCGTATTATCCATACTTATTAAGAGCTTTTCATGCGCATATAAAGATTAAATTTTATAACTAGGTGCAAGATATACAGTATATTTGAAAATAAATTAACAAAAGACCTGGCTCTGCAACGTTTTGGGTTGAAAATTTAGGAGATAAATTAAACCAGTACGTTACTGGACGTAACTGTATTTCAGAGGCTATTTGGGTTTATTTCATTTTTCAATATTCAATCAATAATCAGTAATGACCTGCATAAATTGGTACTCGATCAACGCCAAACGTTTCATTATATCACTTAGAACGTTTATGGTAAAAGAAAATCAAATTTTTTTCTTAGATGCTGCTGGATGTACTGGAAAAATAATTCTAATTAATCTACTTATCACCTACGTTCGATAAACAGGTAATTTGGCTGTAGCATCATCAAAAATCGCTGCTACTCTTCTCATGGTACAACTGCTCATTTAAGTTTTAAATTATTATTAAATGTAAATTTCAA